GGGATCGCCCCGACTACATCATCACGCCTTCCCCGCGGCTAGAGTCCACGCGGATTGCTTCACGGGGCGGTATCACAGTTGCCCAACGGTGGCAGTTGGGACAATTGGTGGGCATACGTATGCAACGCAAACCACATATCGACTTCTACGCCCTCTGTGGGTACGCCCCCGCCGACAAGCCCCAAGCACGACCTATCACGGCGGCTGCCCTCGCAGTATGCCGGCGCGACAAGGATGAGTTGTTCGACAATGCGAAGAGAACCTTGAGTTGCATTCCCTCTCGATGTGCACCTGCACCATATGAAGTGGGACATGCCAGTTTGCGCAGCAGGTACCGGCCACAGTGGACCGACGAGGGACGGCGCCTGCATGGCATCCTCTTCCAGTATTGCATGCGAGCTCTCAACACCCTTGGACCAGCAGCTGGACGCATCACTGCATGGAGGTACCCCGCTGGCCAGGGTGAGACAAGGATCGACCACGTCGCTACCCCGCGCAGCACGGGCTCCCAGGATTTCGCAAGGGTCATCCGCGTGACCCCTCTGGCCCTGGTCCCCTCTCGGGACCATATGATCGCCGGGGCTTCTATACATGTGGGCCGGCACTTCGCTGAGCGACCCCCCAAGACATCGACGCCGACGCGGCGCCGACATCACGCGCTGAGTTTTCTGCAGGGTTGGCAGCGCTGGTCCACGGCAGAGGCGGAGGCCCCAGGCAGCGGCGGCCCAGTGGCCACCGCCATCAGCGACGCCCTGCGCTTCCAGGACCGCGTGCACCGCGCCATCGCCTGCGTGGAACACATGCAGCTGGTACTTGGCGCCTATGGGCCACCCCGTGGAGGAGAACGTGGCCTCGAGCATTCTGCTGCAGGTCCCTGAGCTCGAGAGCAAGGCCAAGATGAAGCAGAGCATGGACCGCGCGGTGGAGCCCCACGGCCCCGAGGGCAAGACCGCCGCGGCGGCGGCCGCGGATGCGGGCGAGATGCGCGAGGGGCACCCGCAGGGCAAACGCCCCTACGCCCTGTTCCGAGCGGTTCTGTACCACCTACTGCTGGCACTTCGAGGGCGCGGCGCCGCCTTGGAGGAGGACGCGACCGAGAGCGACCAGCGGGAGGTCCTGATCGCGTCGAAGGCGGCGTCCGCTGCCAGCGAGAAGGCCCCTCAGACGAATTCGTTCCAGGCATCGCGCTGCTGGGTCGGAGCGACTGACCGTTGCCGCGTGCTGACCGCGCCCATCCCGCATTCCCGTGGGGCGTTGAAGTGGCAGGAGCTTGCGGGACTTATGATCGACGACGACCATGCTCCTCGCACCACGCCGTGGGCTCAAGGAAGTGAATTAGTTGACTTGGGTGTTGGATGTATTTCAGGTGAGTCCACCAAATTGCATGCGCCAGTGCTCACTTCTTCAGTAAAGCCTGCTGCAGGCGCCTGGTTTAGTTTTGTGTTGTTTGTTTGTTTCCACCGCTTCTGCCTCCTCGTCCGCCCCCCTTCCTTCTTGGCCCGTTGCGTTGGTGACTTTGCGTTTGGATCGGCCCGCAGCCCTGCCCCTGTATAGCCCGGAGCGTTGCCGACTTCGCATTGCTGGCAAGGGCGGCTCCCGCTATGCTGCGCCGCGCTTCTCCTGCGCACGATGCGGTGCGCCGCTGGAAAGTTACTTTTCGCCGCCAGCCCGTGGCCAGAGGGTCGCGCGTTGATGTGCGGGCTCCCACCGGTGGGTGGTCAGCTTCGTACGTTTCGCCCGTGGAAGCGCGCGCGGGCTGACCTTGCGGTTGGCTATGTGAATGTTCGCGAGACCTCAGTGTTGGGATTGCGTATTCCAAAAGTGCCCTTGGTGTCCACCGTTTGTTGGTGGTATAAATTCATGATGGGGCGCGGGGCGCACTTTGAAACCGCGCTGGCGGGCTGTTGAAGAATAGCCGTTTCGCTCGATACATCCTCCAAACATCGGCCCAAAAGGGACTCCGAATCGACGTCGTGTTCGAATCGCTTTTGGAGGGCTTTCCAACGGCCCAAGGGGGGCCCAAAAGACGCCCCGGAGAGCCCCGGGAGCGCCCAAGAACGCCCAGCAGCGCCCAAGAGCGCCCCAAAAAGACCCCAAGAGACCCCCAAGAGCGCTTTAGGAGCCACCCAGACAGCTCACGCGAACCCCAGGACGGCCCGAAAGGGCCCAAAAGGCTCCAAGAGACACCCAGGAACGCCCTAGGAGGCCCCCAAACGGCCCAAGAAAGTTGCACGGCGGCCCAAGATGGCGCCGAGACGGCCCAAGAAAACTCCCACATAACCCCACGACGCGCGCAGACAGCCCCCAAACACCCCAGAAGCCCATAAGAGGATCCAAGCGGGCCCCCACGAAGCCCCCAACAAGTCCCAGGACAACCCCGCGCGGCGCCAGGAGCAACGTCTTTTTCAAATTGCCTCTTACTGTCCTCTGTCGTCGCTGTCGTCGTCGTCGTTGTCGACATGGCCCTCCGCATTCCTCCTCGTGCTCGCCCTCGTTCTCTTCGTCCTCGTTTGTTGTGCTTCTCTTCCTCCTCGTTGTCCTCATGCTCCTCCTCGCTATTCTCACGTTCGCCACGTCGTCCTCGTCATCGATTCCTCCTTGTCCTCGCCTTCCTTTTCTTCTTCGCCCAACGCGCCCATTGGACTGAAGCGGCGCTTCCCGTCCTTGTCCGATCAGGTTTGGGCCGTCGTGGGGCTGGCTTGAGTTCCTGTGGGGTTGTTGGGGCCCTCGTGTGCCGTTTTAGAGCCCTCTTTGGTTGTTTTGGTATGATCTTTGCCGTTCTGGGGCCTTGCTGTGCCGTCCTCGGGCCCTTTTCAACCATCTGGGGGACTTGCGGCCGTCTTGGGCTGACTATGAGCTCTCTAAGGCAGTCTTGGGTGCCCCCAGATACCGTTTCGGGCAAGTACGGGTCTTTGTTGGGGCGGTTTTGGGCAGTCTTGGGGCCATCTTGGAGATCTCAGCAGGCCTTCTGGAGCCTTCGAATATCGTTAGGGGAGCGATCGTATACCAAATAATGTATAACACCCATCATGGTGAATTGTTGCGGCTTCTCGAGGGTTTCCAGGTGAGCGACCCGGGGCCTCTTGGAGGTTTCTCGGGATCCATGTAGCGATTTTGGAGAGTTGTTGGGTGCACCTTGCGGCACTCCCCGACCGACAGGGAAGCCTCGAGGAGCCTGCGGGGGCTCGGGAAACCTTGGGAGGTGGGGCGAAGAAGCGCGCAGCAGGTCGTGCCGACAGAGGGGGTTGGGCCTCCAACCATGCATACACCCTACCCACACGGCGAGCGAGGGGGCATCTGAAAAGGAAAAGGCCTTCCCAGAAAGCGGCGGGCATTTTCAGAAACCCTCAGGCCTTCTCGGAAGGCGTAGGAAACTTCTCAAAAGGCCGAGGGGCTTCTGAGCCTTCTGAGAAGGCCCGCCCCTTCTCACTTCCCACCTGGGCGTGCCGCCGACTACCACGCAGCCATTGGCCTTCCACCACGCCTCGACGTGCCAGCGGTCATCATTGTGGATAACGTAAGGCACCGTTCGATTGGCCGAGGTAGTAGTACATGAGTACAGGAGCTCGACAGGGTGGGATTTGTTTGGGTGGTGGTGCACTCATCGTGGGCCTGATGTGCAAACCATGTCTATGATGTGACGCTCGTCGTCCTTTCAGAAGCATGCTTCCTCTTCTGCCACAGCACATTCATCAACGGACAGTGTTTATGTGTTTGTCCTTTCAAGTGGTTCAAACTGGACAGGGCTGTCCTAGGCAGTTTTGAAGTCTTTTGAGGGAGCACTTCTAGAGCACACGCCATCGTAACTTGCTGGGCGCACGAGAACACATGATACCTCCATCCTCCCTTGCGGCTGTCCTCCCCTATTCTTCTTCTTCCTGCATCACGAGCAGGCACACCTGAACGTGCATACTCCTTCACGAAGGCAGTCGTCTCGGCAGGTGCCCATCCTTCAACCCAGCGTGACACCATACTGTCCAAATCTAATCGGGATACCATTGGGCACCTTCGACCAACAATTGGAATAACATCGGAACACCATCGAATTATCAGTTGGAACATTATTTGGAGGCCTCTTGATCTTTACAAGCGCGAGAGCGTCGTGGCGAAACGCAAGGGTGGGGGAGGGGAGGAGGGTGTGACATCTAGCAGCCCTCTCCCCAGCCCGTGCTGCTGTAGCCCAAGCACCCTGGACACAATCGATCGACAGTCGTGCGACCACTTGGACACCATCGGAAGCGAGTCCTCATCGGGACACCACACATCAATTGCATCACCAACAGGAGGCCGTGGGTACAGTCGGGACACTATTGAACACCAAGTGGGTTACAAATGTGACACCATCGGAAATTGAGCAAAGCACAATCGGGACACCATCGGTTACCATCGGGACGCCAATCGGGACGCCACTCGGGGCCCAGTCGGGGCTCCAAGACAAGCCGACACCATGACACCGCAGCTTCACGTCAGTGCCACGCCACGTCGCCAGGACACTCCACGACAAACCACAGCACCGACACCACGGCAACGCGACACACCAAGACACACCACGACCCACGACAGGATCGTCTCGCCGACAGACGGGCAGGAGGGTTCCCGCCGTCCACCCTGACTGCCTGGGGAACGCACTCTCAGCTTCGCACGCACCTCACGTATGGCGCAAGCACGTATCACGACTTCTTTGGTCGGGGGGCAGCCTCAAAGGAGTCTTCCATGTGCCCCATCCCCAACTCCTCTCTCTCCCTCTCCTCCCAGAGTCCGACGCAACGTGGCCAGTGCTTGCATTTTTCCCCACGGGGTATCCTGTGGACCATGGCACAGACCTGAGATGCGACGCCGTGACAAAATGCAGCATCGTGGGAAAATCGCGACCAGAGCCCCAGACCCCATCTGTCTGCGGCACTTCCTCGATCCGCATCGATAGCCGAATGCCCTGGGGCACCAAGCATGACGCACGGGCCAAGCATGGAACCACCGCGACGCTCGGATCTCAGGGCCCGTCAGAGCCTCCGTTGGCGCGGAGGAGACGCTTCTGTGGGCGGCGCTGTCTCAATCGGAGCGCTGCCCCGCGGCCGAGGGGTTGCCCCCGACAGTTTCCGGCGTCCCTGGAGGCCCTCGCTCCGAGCTCTCGGGCAGATGGATTTTGTATCCAAGCTGCGGGCCCCATGCGGCCTACCTTCCTGAGGAGCTCTGGGTAAGCCCAGGCAGGGATTGAGCGGGTGCGCTCACATACGCCCCGGCATTCTGACAGTCGACTGGCAAAGCAGGGCCCGGCTCACAAGGGACGTCCCCCATCGTCAGCTGGCCTGCCGCACGAGGGTCACCAGCGTCGGTTTTTTCACCGCGATGCAGCGGAGCATTGTTACGCCTTCACCGCGATGGTTACCAGCGCCACCTTCTCGCCTGGCTCACAGGGGCCACTTCGTGTTGTCATTCGCCGTGATCGCTGCAACACTTGGCTTTTAGTAGTATTTTTTAGTTGTATCGGATCCCTTTGGCGCTGCGGTGCCGCGGGTATTTCGAGCTTATATGAACGGCGGAAAGACCGCCGGGCAAGCCTCTTTTTGGCCAGCTGCTTCGCCATCTAGATGGGAAGTTCCGCCGTAGCTCGGCTCCTGGCCCGGAGGGTCGAGCCACGGTCCAGTCGGAGGGGCCATCGAGGGCGGGAGCGAAGGGGAGCAGGCGAAGATGGAGGACGACCGGGCTGTAGGAAGTTGTGGCAAATCCCGTGGGCGGCTGTGGCGGCGCTCGAGCTCGACATCCGCGCGCGCGTGGGGCCTGTTTGGTTGCCATTCGGGGGACGGTCGGCGACGGGCGGCGAGGAAAGCAGGAGGGCGGAGGGCGGAGCATGGATGCGGGAGGGATCATGACGGTCTGGGAAGTTTGCCCGCCGACCGACCGCGTTGCTGGGCTATTCAGCTCGGCGTTGCTCCTGAGGGAATTGGGTCCTGTTTTCGCCGTTTCGGCCCCCACCCCACGGGCCCTACCTTACCTGGCTCTGGAGCCATCTGATCAACGATTCAGAGTGAAAACGCCAGTCCTTAGCCATGCCATGGGATCCAGGGCCCGTTTCCCTCAGACCCTCTATCCCTCATGCCAATCTCGATCCATTCCCTCATGGCGATTTCGCGGCGGTTCTGCACCCCAGATCCGCCTCGGACGGCCCTGGAGGCCGAAAGGTTACGACGAGTACGACCCCTGGAGGTCTCTTGCTGGCCGGGGAGCGTATCCCACCCTCCCGCTGCCTCGTCTCGGGGGAGGGAGTCTGTCCCAATCAGGCACGCCTTCTCTCCGGCCTCGCGGCCTCCCTCGCCCTCCTCCCCCCATCCTCATCTCAGGCAGGCCTATCGTCGAGGGTGAAAGAAGCCCCAACCCTGATTATTCACTGCGTGGATCTCCCCATCTGTGCATCTATTGGCATGGACCTGTCCACCGTGATGGTGTAGGCGCAAGAGTTTTCGAACATAAATGGGCTTGAGTATTGACAGTCTGGGAGTGAATCTAATTGTGAATGAGTTGGAGTGTAAATGGGTCTCAGTAGTATTAGTGCGTCTGTGCGCATGAGCCTGGGGCCTCCTGGGACCTCTTGAAACCTCCTGGGGCTTCCTGGGGCCTCCTGGAGCCTCTTGGGGCCTCCTGGGGCCTCTTGGGGCTTCCTGTGACCCCCTGGGGCCTCCTGGTGCCTCGTGTCGCCTCCTGGGTCCTCCGGGAGCCTCCTGGAGCCTCCTGGGGCCTCCTGGGGCCTTCTGGTGAGGATTCGTGCCCTGTGAGAGGCCCACTGTATAGGAACAGACGTAAGATACTTCGGATTGGAGCCGCAGGAGTGGGGCAATATATAGGAGCACACGAAAAACATCAAGGACTCGTGCCCCAGGGGAGGCCACATTTATAGAAACAGACTCAAAACATTTAGGAGTGGATACACACGAGATAGATAATGTATATACTCACGCGTAAAACACCCAGGATTCGTCCTCCAGGGGGGGCCCAATCCATATGAACATGCGTAAACACAAGGGATTCTAGCCACTCCTGTGGCCTTCTGAGGCTGCTGCTCATGGGGCGTCGCGGGGGCTCCTGCGGCCCTTCTGGGCCTCCTGGTGCCTTTGGCGCCTTCCGTGGCCTCCTGTGGCCTCCAGAGGCGTCCTGGTGTTTCCTGGAGCCTCCTGGAGCCTCTTGGGGCCTCCTGGTGCCTCCTGTGGCCTCCTAGGGCCTCCTGTAGCCTCCTGGTGCCTCCTGGGGCCTCATGGGACCTCCTGTGGCCTCATGGGGCATCCTGAAGATGATCCGTGCCCACGAGTCTAGCCAGCAAATCAAGCAAGCCGTTCGTGACATCCTCGCAATCTGGGCCACCAAGGATGCGAGAACCAGCGACTTGCTCGAAGCATCCGCCAAATCTGCTCCGAAAGCGGAGGATGTTGCGCTTGCAACAGGCAAACCGCTCGAGACCTCCCCACCATTTTGGCGCGAACCGAGGATTTTAATACCCCTTGGCGGTCCTCCCTTGGGTGCGAAAACCAGCGCGTCGCTCGAGACATCCTCAACATCTGTTCCGAAAGCGGATGATGTTGCGCTGGCAAACAGGCAAACCGCTCGAGGCATCCCCGCCATTTTGGCGCGAACGGAGGAGTGCAAATCTCTGGCGGCTCCCCCTGGGGGGTTGCTGAAACCCGCGCCTCGCTCGAGCCATTCTCAGAATTTGCTCCGCCATCATCATCGTCATCATCATCAGCATCAACATCAGCATCATCATCATCATCAGCAGCAGCAGCAGTATCGTCATCATCAGCACCATCAGCATCATCAGTAGCAACATCAGCACCACCAGCATCATCGCCGCCATCCTCATATCTACACAAAGTACATCACAGCATGTCCTAGCATACCATTCCATGCCATATCATAACACAACATAACGTACAATACCATCGCATACCATTATATGACACACTCCTAGCATAATCTCACCTAACCTAACTGAGCACACCATAACGCAACCTGAGGAGGAGGATGAGGGAAGAGTGTGTGAGGAAGTTGGCGCGGTCGGAGGAACAGCACTAACCCCATCCTTTGGATTTTGGGGAGCACAGCCTAACGAAACATACCAGGGCATACCACAACATGGGGAGAAGAAGAGAGGGGTGAGGAAGATGGCGCGGTCGGAGTAATAACAAGAACTCCATCCTTTGGACATGGGGGATTTCACGATGAAGACGTGGCCTCGCTGAGGTCCCCGTCTTCGCATCAAGGATAATGCATCCAGGCCGTTCGGTTTCATTTATCTGCCGGGAAGACCCCTGTTTATACATAATGTGTTTGGCCCTCCTAAATAAGGTCCCCCACAGGGTTGGGGGTACTGTTATTGCTTTCCATATAGGAGCTCTCAGAGATTTCCGCTTTGATCCTCGTCCAGATGTATCCTCATCCTGCTTTCGTCTCATCCCGCTCCCGCAGCGTGTATCGCGGTTACCGAGGGCCTACACAGTCTGTCTCAGTGATTGGCATCAGCCAGGAGAGAAAAGCAGACACGGACACACAAACAAGTCGATTCGATTCCCCCGAAGATCTGTGCACGTAGGGGAAGTGGAGGGGAAGACGAATGCCCAGAAAATATGGAAACGTATGGAAAACCCCGGGATTTGAATCAGAGCCGATTCCTCGGAAAGTAGGGGCGGTTGAGGGGAACACGAGAGCCCAGAAAATATGGAAGCATAGGGGGTTTTCCGGGATTTTGCGCCAACTTGTTTGTGTGCCCCTGGGCCCCTTTCGGTAAGACTGGCGAGAGAGGGCAGAGACGGCCAGCCGAGGCCGACGCGGCCCCCAAGCGATGGCAGCGATGCTTCGGCCGAGGCCAGGGCCAAGGCCAGGGCAAACGCAGATGCTCCGCCCCCTGTCTCGCAGTGGGGCGCGAGCCGTCCGTGGGGCGCCGCCCCGTGGGATGTCCTTTTTGGCTGTCTCGTGGGCTGTCCCGTGGGTTGCCTCGTGGTTGTCCCGTGGGTTGTCCCGTGGTTGTCCTTGGGACTGTCCCGTGGTGTTCCGTGGGTTGTCCTGTGGTTGTTTCGAGAGTTGTCCCGCAGTTGTCTCGCGAGTGGTGCCGCGGATTGGCCCGTGTTTGTTATGTTGATTGTTTTGTGTTTGTATCGTTGGGTTTTGGTGGTAGATGGAAGAGGATCGATCTTTATTTAGCTGATGAATGAACGAGCGTATGGATATGGAGAAGGTCCCATACCCCCTTAGAAAGTCCCCGGCGCTCCTGAATGAACCGCCTCCCCCACTCCCTCAAGTGAGCGGGGGGGGTGTTCAAACACCTCCTGCCCCCGATCAGAAAGTCGGGGAGGGGAGTTTGGCATCCGCCCGTTGCCCGCTTTCGAAAGACCACGGCGGTGACAAGGACAACGACGGATGACGGACGAGGTGGATGATAATGACGACGAAAATCGCGACGGCAGCGACGACGTCGGCGACAAAGATGTGGAACGACGACAACGACGACGACGATGACGTGACCACGAGGACCACGACGTTGACGTCGAAGAAGCGGCCGATGCTGAGATGACGCTGACGATCATTACGACGCTGATGATCACGGCGACGACGCGGACGCTAACGATGACAATGATGAAGATGACGTTGATACTGACAACCTCGCTCTCGACGACGACGAACCGCAACAATTCACGAGCGAGGCTACTTGTAATGGTCTGCCCGCCCGCCCGCTTTACTGTCCCGTCCGCCCGGCCCGACGATTTGTTTTAGTGGCACTTAACGAATGGATGCTAGCCATAGTGCATCCAAAACACTAAGTTATTGCACTTTAGATGTGTAAGCTATGTGGTGTAAGCTATTCGGTGAAATGTACTTGATGCGAGCTAGAGGCGAGGCGGCAGCGAGGCGGCAACGGGTGGGAACGTGGCGAAACCTTGCCAGACCCGCTCAGCGCACGAGGCAGCAACGAGGCGGCAACGGGCGTCAGCTCGGCGAAACCTATGCGGACCCACCCAGCGTTCGAGGCGGCAACGAGGCGGCAACGGGCGGCAACGTAGCGCAACCTCGCCACAGTTACCCAGGGCACGAGGCGGAAGCTGGCGGCAATGTGGCGATTCCTCGCCATACCCGCAGCGCACGAGGCGGCGACGGATGGCAATGTGGTGAAGACTCGCTGGACCCACCTTGCGCACGAGGCGGCAACGAGACAGCAACGGGTGACAACGTTGCGAATCCTCGCCAGACCCGCCCAGCGCACTCGGCGGCAACGAGGCGGCAACAGGCGGAAACGTGGTGAAACCTCGCCTGACCCGCCCAGCGCACGAGGCGGCAACGAGGCGGCAACGTGACGAAACCTCGCCAGACCCATTCAGCGCACGAGGCGGCAACGAAGCGGCAACGGGTGGCAAAGTGGTGTATCTTCGCCAGACTCGCACAGCGCACGAGGCGGCAACGAAGCGGCAACGGGCGGCAACGTGGCGAAACCTCGCCAGACCCGCCCGGCGCACGAGGCGGCAACGAGACAGCAACGGGTGACAGCGTGGCGAAACCTCGCCAGCCCCGCCCAGCGCACGCGGCGGCAACGAAGCG